TGAATGGATAGATAGAAGTACAAATGAAAACACGTTTTGGTTCAATGCGACATTTATGTATCCATAAAACGATATAGATCAAAGCCTTCCTCAGGGTCTGAGCAAAATCTGATCCAGAGCTTTTTGCTGTCTAGGGCTATTCGACGCACCAAATTCAAATAAAACAAAATCTATAGTGGGATAAGTAAAATAGATTTGAACGCCTATTTTGCGACCAAACGTGAGAAGGATTCTTTCTATGCCGTGTTTCACCTGATGTTGATAAGCTTACACGAGATTAGATATTTGAAGCAAAAGGGTATTTCTTCAAAAACATCTAAGAGGCTATTTGCAAACATCAATTTCTCACTGATGTTGTTATCTCGTTCCAAATGTTTTTCGAGTTTTGTTTGTTGTGTTTCTTGATCTTCGTAGGGAGTTCCCTATACTTGGCAGAAGAATAAACAAATATGAAAATCGCAACCGGATAATACAAGGTGGGGCAAAAGTCTGGGAGCCTAGTAATTTTCCAGATAAAATCAGAAGGAAAGTACCTAGAAGCAGAAAATTTGGTGCACACATGAAGCGAACCTTTACAAATACTGTGCAGCTCTCAAATTTTGAGATTGCCTCTTTTGTTTTCAACGCAGCCCTTCACAATCCTGGCAAGTCTGTCTGTCGTGGCACGCAGGTAGTCGAAGTGAAATTCGTCCCATGCCTTTATGATAACTGTTTCTTTCATTAGGAATTGTGCAGTATGATAGAGCAAGCTTTTGGCCACAAAATATTCTACGAAGAATTTTTTTGCATAATCCAGGGAAAAGATGTTGGAATTTCATGTGAAGGCAAGTGTACTCGCATACTGGAAATTTGGATGCAAAGGGCGAAAAATTACAATTTAAAAAGTATTGAAGTCGCTCCAGCTATCAAATTCAAATGGATGCTTATATAGAAGACTCATGGAAAGAATTAGCCTGATACTCGGCACTTGCTGCGCTCTTATAGCTTTAGAATTTTAATTTAGAGACAAATGGTCACTGGCACGCTGGTAATATTCGCAAAATTTCATTTTGCGTTTTCGAAAGAATAATTTCTGGCAAACGCAACTACTACGATGTGATAGCGCAAAACCTCCTCTACATTATGTGCGTCAAATTACTGTAGAATTTTCACAGTATCTTTAACTACGAAATAAATCGTGAATACTAAAAATTTTGATTTTCTCGCTCTGCAGAAGCACTTGCTTAATAAAGTCAATTCTTACAAATACATATGGCAAGCATTTTCAGCTATGTAAAGTGTAGTTTGTAGAGGATGATTGCAGTACTATGTGGCACAAGTTTGGAATCAAAATCATCAGTAGTTTCGTGATTTACAACACTGCAAACTCGGCTCCCAGAATTTCCCCACTCTGTACTATGATGGTTATATGATATCTATAGGTCTCGATAATTTATGCTATCATAGTTGCGCGCTAAGAGCAAATGCGAATGTATATAGATTTTGATTCCTTCACCAACTCCCTCTTGGCACCTTCGAACATTCTGGACACCTTGATAGCACACAGTACACAGTAATTATTTGACCTAAACTTCTCTTAGCTTCTCTTGGGGCAATCCAGGCTTTTTAGGATAAAGTTCGACAAGAAATCATGTCGATTCTTGGGCCCGACCGCAAACCTACTGCTGACTTTCAGTCGAATGCCATACACTATATGAGTGAACAGCTTCAGATGCAGATGATGAGGAATCACCGCATTTCAGTGCAACTATTTATGAGATTCAGAGATGTGCCAATATTGTTACCTTAAATGCCTTTCACCGTACTACTAAAGACACAGCGTTGGCACCGTTCCAATTCCTGCAAAACCTTCGCGATTGGCCATTTCAACCATGTCATGGCTCACTCCCAGTCTACAAAGGTGCTGAGAGATTTCGACCGGAAAGGTTTCTGATAGATGATGGGACCACATTTAACAAAGTAGGCTCCCTGATTTTAGGACAAGCAAAAACAGCCAAATATTCTCTTTAGCAAGCAACGGAACAACTGTGTCCATTTTCTATTGGGAAAAGGCAATGCGCAGGAGAGGCTTTGGCGATGGTGGAACTATTTGTTGGTTTCATCACTTTACTTCAACATTTCAGATTGGCAGATTTTGCCAGACTAATTCCATAAAATGATAACTTACCTACAGATTGAACCTACGCGGGAAAGACCCGTCGACTTGGGGCCGATTTATAGGGGCATTCTCCTTCCAAAGCCGCAACCGCTCCGAATCACTTCAGTTTTAGGCAAATAGCGATAACTGCTGCTAACTGATTGTTTCATTGTACAGTTGCATGAACAAATATTCAAATTGAATTACTTTACAGGAAAATGTCATATTCCCATTGAAATAATTGGTGGCCTGACCTCCCCTTCTTGAACGATCAAGAACAATCAAAGCCCAAAACACTGGTAAGAAAGATGTTCAGATAGCCGCTAAAAGTTAGAGAAATCTCAGCTGGTCAAAAAGAAATCGCATGATGAGCAGAGCATCCTCGCAGAGTTGAACATATGCAATCGGATTAACTTTACGAATGTTTATAACTGTAGAGTCTCGCAAAACTTACCTTATTAGAGAGACGAGAATAATTTTCTCGAGTACTGCTCTAAGTTCAAAAATTCTCTTCTTGTCTGTTACTGACTCATAAACTTTCACAAGTCATTAGGTTGTCCCAAAGTAAACCGTATCTGTAAATGAATCAAACTGCTTTTGTTTTCCCAGTAGGCGTGGTGTACCATTCGATACAGCGAAGCAAGCTCTACAAAATGACCACCAAAGATCCTTCTAAACGCGACGTGTAAAATTTGAGTCCAAAAATCAAAAATTTTCGACTACATTAAAAATCGGATCTCCTTCCAGAAAATTCTTACAGACGTCCTGCTAGGTCATTGTACATTAGATACATAGTAGTACCCAAAAATTTATTTTGTGGATTTTTTCTGGTGCTTAAAATTGAGAAAGCGAATCAACATGGCTCGAAAACAAATGTGACTTTTTTCGGAATTTTTACCCTGGTATCCGATTACCACAGCACAAACAAAGGTAAAATTCTAGGGTTATACTTACTAAGGCTTGTAATATGCTGTGGCATACGTGGGAGGGGCTCGGGGCAGAAATTGCCAGTTTTAGACTATCTCTTTTTCTCTCTTTCTAAAAAAAAATCCAGTGAAGATATAATTGAGTACTACTATGTATCTTTGTATAATGGCCAAGTTTGAGGCACGTAGGATTTCGCAAAATCCAACTTTCAGCTGATAAATTTTTTTCGATTTTTGCTCCAAAGTTTGACTGGATTACGGCTTAGGCGGATCTTTGGTGGTCATTTTGTAGAGCTTGCTTCGCTCTGTCGATTGGTACCCTAATTCTACCAGCAAAACAAAAGCAATCTGATTTGGAAATATGATTCACTTTGGGCAACCTAATATAATGAGTGCATACACATAGCTGTTCCTGTGTGCATTTTATGCGAATAAGAAGAGTTAGTTCATTATGCGTTGGCCGTGATAGTACATTTTTTGCATAAAAATCGGAAGAATAAAAAAGAAGTAAATTAACTTGACATAAGAAACAAAGTCAATAAATCACTTTGACAGGTTGCTGTACAAATTGTTTTATATGTTGCTTATCTCTCTTATTCTTGACTTTTCTTCTCTCTTCTTCAAATTGATTAATTAATTAAATTAATTTAATCATTAGAAATGGTTCTCACCTTGCTGTTAAAACCGTTCAATGACTAAAACGTGAATTTCTGAGCATCTTTTGCTCACAAGGGAGGTCCGTTTGGCCGAAGTGGCCTTTTCACATGAATATAAAGAGCATCGAAGCTGATTCCAAATCAGTTATTATTCTGCCGAAGCCTCCGGATGTCGGGTATGGGCGTTTTTTGAGTTCAAAAATTGAATGCGTTATTAGAACAAAATTTTTCAGAATTGCTCAAATAATCCAATGTTAATTATCAGAGTATCCATTCGAAGCATACCTTCTGTCCAAAAAGCTCATACTTAACAATGTTCTATTTGAGCGCTGAAAAGACCGTAAAGTTTGATTTTTCCTAGATTATGCATTCAGTTTTCGCGCCAAGAAAATATTCATAACTAGGCGTGCAGGGGCGCTCGGCAGATAATAAAATCAGATTTGGAATCACCGTTTGATGCTTTTCAAAGTGGTATAAGACTCATTTGGGAAGACCACTTCGACTAATTGGACCTCTTTTGTCAGAAACAGTTTAAGTGCGGTCCGTCGCTACTTTCGCGAGTTCAGGTATTATGGACGTGTACTCTTCATAGTAACTACTGCTTCTGCAAAGTTCTTTGGTACTCCATAGTACCAAAAAACTGTGCTTCAGGCTATTAGGCTATTGGGTCCCAAGAAAACTTCAGTGAAATGTTTTTTCACTGATATCTTTCTTTTTCTTTTGCATTATTGAACGGGAAAGTATGATTGTTTTATTACATAATGTGTATAACTTTTGCGAAATAACCGTGTTTGAACTCGGAAAAACGCGACCATCGCCTGAATCGAGTTTCAAGACAGATGGTATTTCCACCTTCTTCCCCATTTAACAGAACGTCTCTGTTGCTATCCTAGTCAAAATATTCGTTTTCGTGGCGGGGATGTTGTTGATTAGGCTCCAAGCGGGATTTCTTTTGTGCTTTTTGAAATTTGTTTCTCAAGCATTTTCTTTTTTTTGCGTTAAATTAGGACAAAAAGTGAAGTTCAAAGTTATCAATGTAAAATACAGCCAGTTCAGCCATTTCCATAGTAATCCACTGGATGCTTTACCGGATGCCAACCGTGTAACTCGTGGCTACGATCGATAACACGGCAGACGGCTGGGTCCCACACGGATACGGTATCCGTGCTCATGCCCGCATGGCAACTTCGATGTCAATGTAGTTTCGTAAGAGCAACCTACTCATTCAGTTTTGATCATCTGCATTCAACGTCAGCTTCTAGTTTCTCCCCTGATTTGAACATGCCTGTCGTACTGAATGTCGGGGGAACGAAGTTCTTTACCTCACTCGAGACAGTGAAGAAGAACTTGGGTCCTCGAGATAAAAGCATCTTCGCAAATATGAATGTTGTGGTGAGTTAGCGTTCATTTCAATGTCCTAGTAAAATAGATCGTACACTTACAGGAAGGCAAGGAAATTTTCATCGATAGGGATCCTACGCACTTTAGATATATCCTAAATTATCTCCGTGATGGTTACGTGAGAGTTGATGGAAACGCAGCTATCCGTGCTCAGCTAAAGCGCGAAGCTCAGGTTGGTGTCGGAGTTTCAACGGTAAGTCTCAAATTTTCTTGAGTAAGCTTTGGGCAATGGCTCAGATTAAGTAATACCCAATCTATCAGCTTTAAACCAAGTTTTTCTTTCAGTTCTATGGGCTCGAAAACCTTGTGCAGCAAATCGAGCGTCAATCGCCCATGACTAGGGGGGTTATCTCTCCCGAGTATGGGTAAGTGTTGCAGCTGCGGCATAAACGTAAAAATTTTGGGATAGACTCAATAGTGATCAATAATACTTGAAGAGAGTAAGGTTTTCTTTTTTTAAGTTGTAACATTTCAAGCGGACTCATTGAATCTGAGATTACTGAAACTAGTAAATTTGGTGCAAGACTTATGTCCCAACTTAATAAAAGCCTGGACCTGTAGAGCAGCATAATATGACCTAGTAGATTTTCATCCATTTTTGAAGATCTTGTTGCCATTTTTTTACTCAATTCCTACGGCCTTTCAGCCAAACAGATTATGGTAGCAGAGTAGAGTAACTATTTTAAAACGCCATTCCATGATTCAATACCACATTCGGATGACTCGTGATACCATGCGTTGTTTAGAGAAATACAGATCTTCTAGCTGAAAAAATTCCTTGAGACTCCGAACAGATCTAATGAGTGTATGATTCAATGTTTGGCTTCTATCCGCTTTGTGTTTCTCTTTCAGAGCGCTAATTGTAACTTGGATTCTTCTCGGGACACACATTTTCACCCAATGACCGTCAAAAAATCTAAGTTTATCATGTTAGTTAGAATATTAATTGATGAAACAGATAGATATGAAACAGATTGAAATTGCGATTCAGCGACTCAACAGAGTTGAGAATAAATCAAAACGACAAGGGATGTTGAAAGAAAGAATCGTTGAGATATTAGAAGAGAAACGCTGAGTTGATGAGTACAGCGGTTACCTTCGAAATTCCTCCTTTGCAATTGCACGCATAAATCTATTTATTTTCTTTTAATTCCTTCCTAGATTGGTATGCATAAACAGAAATTCTCACTACAATACCGATCATAATTCGTCAAAAAAGTCGCCGGAGTGCGGCGCACTCCGCCACACTCCGCCGCACTCCGGCGCACTGCGCCGCACTCCGCCACACTCCGACGCACTCTAGCGCACTCCGCCGCAGTCCGGCGACTTTTTTGACGAATTATGAGCGGTATTGTATGTAGAGCAGTCTGTTATATCCCCCTTGTTCTTCCACACTGGTATCGTTGCGCTCTTCTAACAATCGTTGGGCATCTTCTTGCATTCTACACTCAGACAATTATTACGAGCATCCGCGGCCCTTAATAGTGCCTTTTGGTGGCGCGCGGGCGCTGAATTTTAATACTGACCATCCGCGGCCCTTAATTCACTTGCTTGGCTACCCGCGGCTCAATGTTTTCTCTAGTTAAAGGCCGTGGGTTTTAATTCTTCTACCGGGACACCCGCGGCCCGGGAAAAAACACTCGGGCGGGCCACGGACCTTATTGAAAGCAGTCGCGGGCCTTAATGGGCGCCGTGCTCATCATTTTCGGGCAGGCCCCGGCCCTTTAGGCAACGGCTTAACAGAATCAGTCTGACCAGCCGCGGGCCTTGCCGGACGCCGCAATTCTTACATGCTGTGAGCAAAAACGTTATTCGCGTGAGATACGCCGCGCTGATAGAGGTACCCTCAACTTTTGTTCCGTTTCTTATCGTTCTTCGGTATGTGGCTAGTAGCAAAGACGGTCTGCCAAGGTATCCTCCCCTAGGGTTACTCGAAGTTGAAACCGGGGCCCTACGAGGGAAGACAAATTTTGACGCATACCCTGACCCATGTGCGAGGGCGAGGAAAATGGAAACAGATGTTCAAAAAATGGAATAAATGCGCATTGTACTGCGTTTAGCAACTGCGTATCGGGCCACCCGCGGATGCATATCGCGCATCAGTCGGGTGCTTGTCTGGACATCCGCGGGCGTCCTTCGAGCGCTTACCGGCGCATCCGCGGGTAACTCTCGGCTGCTTAGCGTGCGTTTACTCTACCACCCGCGGCATGGATGAAACGTCGGCGCGGGCCCTTCCGCGGGTGGTCGCAATGATTGTCTGAGCAATACCACTCACATAACTTGCAAAATTTCCGTGAATGTCGCGAAATTCCGAAAATTCCGCGAACTTTCCGGAATTTCGCGAAACTCCTGAAAGTTCGCGAAGTTTCGCGAAATTCCAGGAATTTCGCGGAATTTTCGGAATTTTGCGATATTCAGGGAAATTTTGCACATTCTGTGAGCGGTATTGTACTCGACGTGCTAACAACATTTCTTACATTGTTTTGCTGCTGGTGGCACATTGTAGGATAGAATATCTGCCAAATTACACGACTTTCGAATTTGAAAGAGAATTCATGAGAAGGCGATTTTGTAACATCATAATCTGACGAACAATTCAAATAAAGATCTGTGCTAAGCATGGTCCGATAGAGGTGTTCACAAAGTTTTCAACTCACAAAAATTTGCAGACAATTTTCGCAACAGGTAGGGGAAAAGTGCAGGCGAAGTTGCGATCTTGATTGGTTCAGCTACTTCTATCTCACTTTAGCTTTACTGTAAGACTCTCTAGTGCAAAATAAATAGGATTTTCGTAAAGACCGGGACCAAGAACCACTATGAGTGAAGTTTGCGGCCAATCCGAAAACCTCAATATTTTGACCAAATTTTGCGCCGAGGCCAAGAGTGAGGAGCGATTGCGCTATATCGATGTGTATTGCTTCTAAGAAGCTGGAAAAAATATGTAATGTATAAGTATGAGACAGGTGTCTAACGTGATTTTTGGGGGAATTACGGAGCAACTTTGGGGGAGCCAATCTTACGGCCTGAGCTTGCATGTTGTGGGGCTAATAACTCTGCGAATATTACAGCTACGGGGCTGTGGTTTGTTTTATTCGACAGATCTCTGAAAATATGATTTTTAGAGAGAAGGTCGTAGAATAACAAATTTCCATTAAAAGTGCCTAATTGACAGCCGAACTTGGGAAATCTGTCAATAAGGGCGATTTCGGCGCCTTATATCTGTAAGAGTTGCAGGGCTGGGGTAATCTCATGTGGCCATTGACATGTAGTTTTGGTAGCACTATTTTTCTAGGGGTAGCTTGTGCCTAGAGATTCCCTGTAGGAGGCGCTATATAAAGGCGATAGTGCATATTTTGAATTTTTTCTCCGCGGAGAGTAGGGATGACGGGCTGGGATAGCCATTCTTCAGTTTGTATTCGAGGGGGACACCACATATAATTCGGAGAAAATGTAGGGGCTCCGCCTGTGGGAGCCTATCTATGAACCCTTCCCGGACTTTAAAAAAAAACTTAGACACGCGATTTTTCCTCTTTCTCCCCCCTTTCTTTCTCCCCCCTTATTTTTCCCCTCTCTTTATTACCGGGTGTGTACAGTTTCCCCGCGGCCATCTGGACCTGGTTAGGAGGCTGATAAGGGCTAGAAAAGGGGTAAATAGGGCTAGAAAAACGCGATTTTCGCTTATTTTTCCTTATTTTTCCTTATTCTCTTTAATTTTGATAGTGTTGTGGGGAATAAAGTGGGCGGAGCTTGTTTGGACGAGTTTTAGGTGTATAATAGCACTGGAAGTGAGGTTGCTCCGCACTTTTTCAAATTTTTCGCTGTTTTTCGCTCATTTTGTAGAGTTGGGAGGAAAAGGAGGCGGGGCTTGCGGTTGAGTGGGCGGAGTCTAGTGAAGTGAATGGAGCCTTGGGGTTTAAAGGTGGGTGTGTGAATCTTCAAAACTGGTAAAATCAAAGTTTTTGAGGTTGCGAAATCTCCAAATTCTCCAAATCTCCGATTTTATCGATTTTCGGAATTTCGCAATTTTCCGAATATCGATTTTAACGATTTTTGAGGTTTTGGAGTTTGAGAAACATCGGATTTATCGATTTTTGACAATTTTTGGAATTTTGCAACCTCCAGAACACCGACTTTATCGATTTTTGACGATTTTGAGGTTTTGATAGTTCTCTAACTTCAAAATATCGATTTTATCGCTGTTGAGCTGTGAATTGTAAGCCCCGCCCACTTTTGATGTTATTATGCACCTAATATATGTATATTTCCTTTCACTCACTCCATATACAATACCGATCATAATTCGTCAAAAAAGTCGCCGGAGTGCGGCGCACTCCGCCACACTCCGCCGCACTCCGGCGCACAGCGCCGCACTCCGCCACACTCCGACGCACTCTAGCGCACTCCGCCGCAGTCCGCCACACTCCAACGCACTCCGGCGCACTGCGCCACACTCCGCCACACTCCGACGCACTCTAGCGCACTCCGCCGCAGTCCGGCGACTTTTTTGACGAATTATGAGCGGTATGTATGTATCAGCCGAGATAGCATTTTCTTGTAAAGTTCCAGAAGAGAAATGAGTGATTCTTCAAGAGAATGTGGTTACGAAAAGCAGTAATTTGCAGATTCTTGAACAATTTAATTTGCTTGCTGCCTTGCTCCTTCTTTCGAGATCTTCGATGGAGGCGATACTGATTAAGCGCAAGATGATTTGCACCTGGCGCTTACCACCTTTCATGACTATAACGTCGTACTCGGAAAAGAATTCCGCAGATTTCTGAGCATCCTTTGCTCAGAAACAGTTTGAATGCGATTCGTCACTACTTTCGTGAGTCGTTCACATATCAGAGACAAGTACGCTTCATAAGGAATAGGGCTTCTGCGAATTTAGTTGCTACTCACAAAGGAGGTCCGTTTAGTCGAAATGGCCTTTTTTAGTGACTCCTATACCACTTTGAAGAGCATTGAAAGATGATTTCAAATCTGTCTTCATTATCTGCCAAATGCTTCTGACGACGAGTTACTGGTGTTTCTGGGGTTGATTGAATGCGCTACTCGAAAACCCTAATGATTCAGTACCAATTATCAGAGCACTTCAGCCAATAGGTAACTCCGTCTAATACACTCATACTCAACATTGCTCTACTTGAGCGCTGAAAACACCGTTACGGTTTATTCTACGTAGATTCTGCGAACATTTTTTAATCCAAAGAACTCATAACTCGGCTCCAGAGGGGCTGGCCAGATATAAAAGCAGCAGCATTCAAGGCTTTTTCGGATGCCAACCGTGTACTCATGGCTACGGTCGATAACACGGGGGTGGGTGACATTAGGTCGCCGAAAATGGGCGGTCCCCGCCATTTGCGACAAATACGCACCCTTGTAAATGCGCGGACATGCGTTCCTGCAGGGAATCCGCGCGGGATTCTTCCAAATTCGGCGACCTAACCCATAACACGGCAGACAGCAGGGAAACGGATATGGTATTCGTGGCCTGCATGTGACAATGTCGATGTTTCAACATAGTTTCGTCAAAGTAACCGTTTGCCATTCTGTGTTGATCACCCGCATTCAATAGTTTCATTCCTCTACTCTCTTGATTTCAGCATGCCTGTTGTATTGAATGTTGGCGGGGAGAAGTTCTATACTTCACTCGAGCAATGATGAAGAACCCGGGTCCTCGAGACAGAAGCATGCTTACGGAGATGGATTTCATGGTGGGTTATCATTCTGTACCTCTGTCAAGTAGTTGTATATCTAAGTGAATTTGAAATTTGCAGGAAGGCGAGGAGGTTTTCATCGATAGGGACCCTACTCATTTCAACTATATTTTGAATTATCTTCGAGATGGTGTCGTGAGTGTAAATGGAAGTGGAAATATCCGTGCTCAGCTAAAGCGCGAAGCTCAGGTTGGCTTTAGAATTTCAACGATAAATCAGTTCAAATTTCCTTGAGTAAACTTCGGGCAATGGCTTCGACTAAGTAATACTTAATCAATTTGCTTTAGTCCGAGTTTTTCTTTCAGTTTTATGGACTCGAGAGCCTTGTGCAGCACATCGAGGGTCAGTCTCAGCCCACGACTGTGGAGACTCTCCCACCCGAAGTTTTCGGGAACCTTACGCCTGGTCCGTACTTCGCGATACCCATTCCTAGAAATCATGATCGTAACGTTTAATTGCTGTGTCTGTTGTTCTCTTCTTTATTCAGCAATAAATGCGACTGTTGACAGTATCGTTTTATTCATAGTGAGTCACATGAGAAAATGTGCAGTTGTGGCATAAATTTCGTAGAAATTCCGGTGTAGGCTAAACAGCGAGCGGATAAGTAGGTAACAGCGGAGCGAAAAATTTGCATGGATGACAACGAGAAATTCAGACGTGGTGAATATAGTTATTAGGTTGGAACATAAGTCTTGCACTAAAATTTATTACAATTTCGTAATCTCCAGATTCAATTTCATTTAAATTATTACAGCTTAGAAGGGGAAAAGCTTAATCTCTTCGAATAATAGCGCAGCAACACGCGTTTTCCTGGCTTTTAATTCTCAAAAATGCTCGGCCAAGAATGTTTGATTCTGATATCTGTTTGGATTTTGTAATTTACGCTTTTAACTAAAAATCTATGCCGATAGCAATCTACAAGACGTTCCAGTTTTGGAAGTTATATTTTCAGTTTTGATAGTGTTTGGTATGAAGTCTCTATAATGTATACGGTGAAATTCTGCATACATCATATAAAGAAAAGATATACAGAGAACGAAATGCTGCTGTGAGAGTTTCAAATGAATTTTTTTTTTGAATTTTTGGTACAAGACTTATGTTCCAATCTAGTAAAAGCTGGGACCATTTTACAGAGCAGCATAGAATGTATCTTCAGTTAAACAGGCTTTAGCACAATATAGTAGCTACCGTAAGACGCCACTCCATGTGATTATTTTAGAGCCACATTTGAACGACTCGCAATAGCGATGATGTTGAAAGACAGATGAGATGCTTGAGCTGAAAACTTGGGTTCTTTACAAGAGCAGATCTAATTGAGTGCTTGATTTATTGTTTGGCTACCATTCGTTTGTTTTTTCTCGCTATCAGAGCTTTGCTGTTAACGGAGATTTTTCTCAGGTCACCCATTTTCAAGACCACATCAACTGTAACGAAAAAACTCAGGATTGTGAGGATCAGAACAGTAGGCATGTGAGCCAATAGGTTGAAAAGCTGTAGATGAGAAAGGTAATTGATGAAGCAGACAAAGACTATACGCACGTCTACCATCATTTCAATTGTTCTCAACTGTTCTCAAGCATGTACTAGGCTGCTGCCTAGTTCTGCCCGATTCTTGTGTTCGGAGGCTGTTTTGGAAAATGTTTGTATCATTCGAAAGTTCCTCTGTACTTGTGAGAAGACTTGCAAAATGAACAGTTGAAAAACAATGGTAAACGGACTGAAGCGTTCTGCATTGTGAACTTTCTGAGATTTTAAGCTGACAACATTTCCCGATTCAAAATGTGTAGCTAAGACTACTATGCAGAGGCTTTGCCGTGAAGTTGTAAACATTTATCCCTAAAACTGACAATACAAGCACAGGAACTTAGCAGTGTGTTCGCAGATGACTTGTTTTCATAGATCATCACCACCAATATATAACGATCTTGTACTTTCGAAACACCATAATTAATTGTGGAGGTATATACCTACTTGACGAGTTGGACGAAATATCGCGGACTCGTCCCTCATGCATACGAGACAAGTGGGTACATGAAACCGTCCCGAACTTTCTTCCGTAAGCTGGACAGAAATATCAAAAATCAAACCGTCAACATACAACTTGCTTTCCATGCAAAACAGTCTCGAGACATGTTTGGGTACATCGAACTGTCTCAAGACATTGTTTTCGTGTCAGTATATTTACCAGCCTGTGAGCCATCCTGAGCAATAACTTCATAACACGAGGCAGATTTCCTGTTTGGGCTTTATACCAACCAATCGCCTTGTGGGTTATGCTCAGCGATTGTACTCGAGTTTTGTTAAAATCTCCCTGTTTATAGAAAGGAATCGCAGTAAACTAAATTTTCCGTATGAGAATGCTTGATTTTCTTTGATTAATGTATCATTTTCGGAAATAAACGTTTCACAGGTAATTTTTGCATTTCAAAATCTTCTGGCGTTTATACTATTTTATTTTTGGTTTTTGCGTGTACCAAAAGCGTATCAATTGTGTAAAGGGATTTCGCTTCTAGAGCAAGTCATCTCCTCAGGTGATCATTTCAAAGAGTATGATATAGCTGCGTTCCGCTCCGTTCAGGTAACTAGGTCTCGCTGGCGGATTCGATACTTATAGTTAGTGAAGGCAATCTAGCAATCAACTTCTCAGATCAATTCCACAGATTAATTCAAAATTTGTTCAAAAAGTCTGACTTCACAGCATTACTGGGAAAAGTTTGCTTTTCTCTTTAGTTGAAGGCAGTAAAATCAGTCACTGTGTTGTAAAACTTATCAATTTGTTCCTCCAACCTATAGAGATCCAAAAGATCGCTGTCATTGTTAGTCCCAATAAAATCAATCACCTCGCACACCAAGCGCGGTTGATAACCGCAAAAATTAGTTTTTCTTCCTACTTCGCATTTAGAAAGCTGTTTGCTATGCGCATTATACAAAAAGAATATCTTATTTCATCAGATTCTCTAACAAGGGAAGGATATTTGATTCAAACGGCGTCTCTACATGAAATATATACTCAAATCTGCTTTTGGTATTTGCAGAGCGCTTTTACGAGCGGAGCTATTCGAATTTTTCGATGCAAAAATGATGCTCTGCCAATCAAATTATTCAGAACTGTAATCCTTAGCTCACAGAGTGCCTTGATTACTGCCAGGGCGCTTTATGCAATAAATACTTGAGTCTAATAAAATCGTGCCAGTCATCACTCCTTTTAGGCGCTGGAAAGACTTCAGCACCTGCTTTTATCTTAACCAAGCCCTTAGATTTTCACCTCAAAAAATTCCTACAACTCACCTCCCAAATCAGCTTTGCAAATAATGAAAGCAAATTTGGAATCATGCTCTATAAGACAATTTATATTTCATATGGAAACGCCACTTCGACCAAGTACCTTTCCCCTGTGAGAGGAGGCTTCCTCAACACTGCATTTCACTCTAGTGCGGTTATTAATGTCGAATCGGCTTGCTCACGTACCTAAATCGCCATTGTCACAGCAGCCTTTCGTCCCAGGACCAATCGCGATCTCAGTGTTTATGATTCGGTTCTAGTAGAAGCTTTACGTTCCAGATAGGCTCCACCCTCGCGAGCGACTCGCACGAGGCTGTGTCTATCTAGAGGCGTGATTTGTCGCAAATTTTGTGGGACCTCTTTTTGGCGACAATTGTTATACCCTGAGCTTTACTGGAAACGAGACATTTTCTTCTTCCCTGATAGCTTGTTGCGTTTCCATGAATGTACTTTATGATTGCTGTAAAAATTCATTTCCTCGAGTTCCAGGATTTCCACAATGTTTCATCCGGTCATACTAAATCTCCGTGGTGAGAAATTTCTCCTTAACACAAGGACGCTAAGAAACTGTCCAGGCGCAAATGATTTGAGCATATTTCTATGCATGGATCTTCCGGTGAGGGTTGTTTTTCTTGATTGTTACGAGTTAATCTGTACTTGCAGCGCTCGGGAGAGTTGTTCCTTGACCGAGACCCCGAACTTTTTGGGCAAATCATATTTTACTTGCAAGACGGAAGACTCAGTATACGGTACGATAAACATCTACTTGCTCTACTGCAGCAGGAAGCCGAGGTGAGTACAGTGGATTTGGAACTGTTTTGGTATATGGAGATTGAAGTTCAAAAATTCCTCTTTAAGTTGATCTGTGGGGGCCACAAAGCACGCATATCTCGTACCCTTTGATTCAGCTGGTTGGCTGGTGGAAGGCGGGGCTTCGTGACCTCAGGCTAGAAAATGATCAGAGAGCACGCTTGCGAGGGAGACGCAGGCTGCGTCGCGGGCGCGAGCAGTCGCCTTCCAGCCGCCAATCTCGTTGATTTTAAGGGTATATCGGATACTACTCCACTTAATGCATCCTAAAAATTCAAAACCACGATTCCACTGAAAATCAGCAGGGAGGAAAGAAGTTATTCGACTTATCACAAAAATGATTCCGTCTATAGGCCGTTCAAGGTTTTACAGTAGGCAAACAGTAGTCAAAATCCAAATCTGGCTGAATTTTTCCCTGAGGGGTTACTCTGCTATCACGAATATCACACTTCTCATCCGCGAAAACGTCTCCTTGAATAGTTGCGATAGATCTGTGGTAGGAGGTCCGAATCCTAGATTTGGCTTCAATTTTTTAGAGGAGTTGTTCGACATTTTGATCACGATTATCATAGTGTTCTTGCGTTTCGGGACCTTTTCATGGAGTGATAGGCATTTAGTAAGCTGTCAAAATCGATTTGCCTGTAACTTTGCTCATTGCGGAGGGGATCTGCTGTGCTGATCACAAGTATTGCTTATTTCGCATTATAAAACCTCCTCGTGAGTTTCTTTGATCTAAACTGACTTGAAAAACAAAAGATGTCTGTTCATGCGCTGCAAATTGCCATTACTCCGCAGCAAGGTGGTATTGCAGCGAGCAAGCTTGATATCGTAATCTGCACGTTGAAAACCTTTCTAGGCAAAATTCTGAGTAATTCGGAACTTCGGCCCACCTATCGTATGCCGAAACTACCGGAAAAAATGGCGATACCATGCGAAAATGATAATAAGTTTAGCGTGTTAAATAACAACTCTATAGACTTGTCTGTGATTTCGGCCCTTACCGTATGTCTACTTCAACCATGCACGGGCACGTTTTTACACAGAAAAAGTGTGATATTTGTGATTAGCATGTTGAATAAGTTCTTTTTGCAAAGTTCCAGGGAGACTGCTATTTCGGCCGCATACCGTATACCTGCCGTAACCCCCTTAAAAGGCCTCACTATGCGTAATGAGTTTTTAAAGCGCAGTTTTCAGGGATTAGCGCATGAAATGACAGATGGGGTTTGGGCTATAGTACTTGGAGTGTCTATTACCTAAATCCACCAAAATCCGAGAAGGGTTGATTTCGCCTATCCACTGCATCTAATAGCGGGATGCTTAGTGGTTACGGTAGGTGTACACGGTGGGGTCAAGACCACAGCTTTGCTAGATTTCTCGGCACAGTTATCACTCGATTTACTCATATATCATTCAACCCGCTGGGCTAAACGGTACGGTAGCTTCACGGTATGGAATTAAAAATCGCAGATTTATTGTTTTCATTTCGTGCGAATAGGTTATCCGACATCGTGATAGGCTTTTCATGGAATCATTGCGCCCAACTGATGGAAATTCGAAAAGAACTAGGTGTTTTGTTGATTTAATATGACTTTTTTTCAGTACTATGGCCTCCATCACCTTGCCGCTAGACTTCGCAACCTCCAACCGTTCGATGGCGAACTAACCATAGTTGCTAATAAAGAACTTGCTCCATCTGAAGTCGCCGTCGCGGAAGAAGGAATAGCTACACCATCTGGCTCTTCTGATACCGACGAGGAATTCGTTTTTGAAACACGTGCTTCTCATGTTTTGGGAAAACGGCGATGGTGGGAATGTTATTTTGATGGCCCGGATTGGTGGGAATATTGGTTGCCTTAGAACTGGTTTTTGTGGCAATAAATATTTGTTGTATAAATAAATTTATTCTTGTAGGGTTATTCATATGGCAGCTACAGGGGGCTTGGACACATTGAAAATTCAAATTTTCCTAGGTAGAAATTCATTTATGAGCCTAGACAGTTTTTATGATGTTTAATAAAATATCTATAGTAATAAAAGCTGTGGCTTTCATGATTGTGGACAAAAAACTTCAGTATAGATGTTGAATGGCATAGACAAACATTTCTTGGACGTGGTTATTTGAGTCAAAGACCCAAGCTTACTAAGGTGCCTTCATTAATTCTCGAGTTAGTCTGCACACTGGTGTTAGAGGTCAGTCTCGGACGAAGGCGGATGGTTTTTTGTTGCGTACGCGGCGATCGAGCACCTATCATCGCTAGAGCGCATATGGCGCTCATAGCGACGCCAGTAAACGCTCGCTCATCGCGCTCACGTTCGATTACCTGATATGAATATCCGTCGGGGATTAGCCTTTCAATAGTGGTAAAAGAAGGTCAGTGAATTGATCAGTTTTTTTGCAGACCGACAACGAGTTCCTAGAATATCCTTCTACGACAATTTCAAATTTTCGAGTTTTTGATCTTTTTGTGCACTAACAAAAACAAGTCATAACGATTTTTGCAATTTAAATATAAATCATTTTTCAAAATTTGGAAGCCATTCTAGTGAGTCAAACCCCCCCCCCCTTCCCCGCTTTGTCTGTTCCCATAGGCCATCCACTGCGTTGTAATTACATGTTATGTCAAATCCGGAGCAGTGGCATGTGTGATACTGTGCTTAAAAAACTTTACGAACCACCAACGGGTGCTTTTGTACCTGCTTTTGTTCCCACAAAAAAGCATTTTTGGATTTTTTTATTCTCATCAGTCAGGTTCATAACTTTTGCGTTTATTGCACAACAACATTGTGGCCTTCATTTCCATTATCGCTTACTGAACGGAATGCGGACGATGGCTGACGCCCAAACAAATAGCTATTTGAGACTTATCTCGGTGCACGCTTCAAAATCAGTCTTTCTCTCTTGTAGTCACAAAACCGCCGGATACGACCCCCCCCCCCTCCAAGTTCTGTCTCGGTAGCCCCTCTCCGGCGGTACCGCTTGCCTACCTTAGGCACGCATAAAGGCTCTACAAAGCATGATTAGTAACATGTTCATCATTATCATGTCAAATACCCCTGTGGGCCAAGATCTAGCGAATTTCTGAGTGGTTCCGATATTGCGCTCAAGCGAAGTGGTCATATTCAAACATCTGTAACGATAGTTTATGAGTAATTTATCTAGCTCTACAAAGCACTACTTCCTTTTTGCCCAAACCATGACTGCTTGTAACCGTCAAACTGTGGAATTAGGTGTCACTGAAAATTTGTCCCTATTCTCACTCGCAGTGGTAGTGCTTCCAGCAGCTGTTGCTCAAACAAAAGAAGGCAATTCAGTTTCTAATAACTTCCACAAAAACTACGAGAACTTGGCTATCGAGCTGTATATAACTTGTTTGATGTTCCCTTTGAAGGTAAGTTAATGGAGTGCGGCACAACCCCAGAAAAACTGTGGTTTCCACATTTTCTCAGGGATTGTGCCACATTTCATTGACTTACCTTCATACCATTCAAATGCCTACAGTAATAAATACAGATGTTTTTATATCACTGCTACGGCCTAACCTTCTTCTTTACACAACAGGGTTTTCATTTTAAGTCGTTTCTCTGGGGAAAAATATAATTGTTTTCCTCACCTATGCAAATAGAAAATACTGCGAAAGTATGGTAAAATACGGGTTACGGTGAACTGCTAAATCTGCACTATTACGTAAATTACAAATGAAGTCAGTAATGAATACATTCAATGGCCTAAATCTCATAATCTTCAAAAAAGTGATTTCAGAATGATTGGTTTCTTTTGGTTTGAGGTATTGGAAGGCAAGGGACAAAGAGGTTTTGATGTGCTCATAATTTTATAATTACTGACGGTTATCTGGAATGGGATTCCTCAAATGAGCAACAAAATAGTAGCTCCTTTTTTAAGGCAAAAAGAGACATTTGACTTACCTTCGAAACAAAGTCAACATGTTCGAAAATGATCATCTCACTCGGGTGGCACAATATTCGGAAATATCAGAGTTCGCTTTGGCCCACATGGGTTATTTGACCTGCTGACGACGAAAATAATGCTTTCATGCTCTTAGGGGTCTTTTATCATGCTTACTGTGCGTGCATGATAGTAGGCCAAAACATTTATGTGTTAGGGGCCAATCTGACATTGTTAACAAATATGATATTATCGCTAGCATCACTGTATATCACCTCAATAACGACACTCCCTTTCTGACCCTTCTATGACCCCCAGGTGTGGCATGCCACACTCCACGCTTAACCCTGCCAACCACTCCAGAAAGTTTCGAACACCTCAAATGTTGAAATTTTTACAATTTTGATCATGATAGGTCAAAACTCACCATTTTTTTTAGCTTTTGCATCATCTAAAAGTCGTTCAACAAAGGGTTCCGTGAGATGGTATGGATTCGTGGAGAAGAAACGCAAAAGGAACCTTATGATGAAAAGTAGTTATTTGCAGTACTGGCAAGAGGAACCTATGTTGAAGTCTGTTTTCATTTATATTTTGAAGGAACCAATGAAGTTATCCAACTGGCTGCTGTAGGCATTCGTTTAGTTGGTAACTACAAAGTCGCAATAGTCTGTCGCTGAGTTTTCCTTATACTTTTCACAAATCTCGTTCGTTTGTAATTGGTTTCGGCTCTAACAATGAGCAATTTGTCAGAACAGCAAAGTAGGTCTTAAACCACATAGAAACACAAAACAATCCTTTGTCGCTGATGTCTCCAAGACTACGCTTAATGTAAATTAGCAACGCTTCCACGAAGCTTCAGAAGTAACTGCGAGCTCGGCAGTGACTGGTCTGCGATGAATTTCGCAGTTTTCCTCTTGCTTGTAACACAGGTAACCTCTCGCACTACATTACGGGTATTCACAATCGAGTAGATTATCCGCTTTATATAGTGTGCTTGCACTGGACAAAAAATTCGTGCGTCAGCTATGCCTGCGACGCCGGCCAGTTGCGCGCGCAGAATGCCGGCATTACTGGCGTGGCTATTTGTACACGCGCAATTTTACCGCGTTACACGTGCAGTGCAAGCACACTGTATTGAGCGGAAAATCTAACGACAGATTTTCAGACAACATGGACCTCGCCTTGTGTCTACAAGCGAGTAGATGTAATGTCGGGGAAGTTGATATACTATTCGGATGTGATCCCCGAAGCCAAATGCTTTGCTGAATGTCTTAATGTCAAAAACTGTGGCGGGGTTTGCTACGAAAGAATGTCATATGAAACAGAAGGACATGCCTTTTGTGGAATTGTAAGTTTAAAAACGTAGGAATTCGCACTTCGAGGAGAAGAACAGAGCTCTGCACAGTCACAGCCACTGATAATTATGCGATTGCTTTAGAGGTACAGTAAAAGAGGTGTATAGGTGGTTTTGGAGCGTTTGACTACTACAAATGATGCCTCCGATTTTCAAAATTGTGCATTACCACGCGTTCTTTAGTTTTTATTAGGTGCAGGTGGCTTGAAATGATGTTTTTTTTCTGGCAAATCGTAGCATGAAAAAGATTCATAAGCAGGATATGGAAAGAAAATAACTGGTAGAAGAATGAAATCGACCGCAGAACACTTTTTCATAACAACCGATATTCTCAAACAATCAACTGCAAAAGTAGGCTCATTTTGTACTGATCACAGTGACTTTGAAGTAGAAGGTAATCACAGATAGTGTGCGGCCGAAATTGCTATTGGTTGGTGGGAAAAACGGTATTGGTCAAGCATTTTTAGAAAAGAATATTAATCAAACTTCTCTGTATCGTTGATTAACATTGCGACAAAAATGCTGTTCGACACTTGTCTTGAGGCAGTAATTATTTTTCTTACATCTGCTGCTTTTGTAAAAAAAACCAACATGAATACGAATTTAGGTTGAACAGATATGTTATCTCTACAATCGTTCTCCATCCAAATGGGAAGCTGAGGAAGGCAAGGAGCGCTGCTACACTCTTGATCGCAACCAGACAGAACCGCCGCAGTATACAAGAATTCTGACCTTTACCAAAAAGAATGCATCCTGGGTTCCATAATTCTTCACCAACGTAATAAAGTGTTTCATTGTTTATAGTTGTTAATTTAAGTGGAAACCTTTGAACAACTGGAATATGCAGCTTGTACAGTTCCTCGCTCTTGTTTAACACGTTCGCAGCGAAGGAAAGTACGATTACTTACGGTCGAATAGACAGCGTGAAATCCAAGGCCGATAATAATCTGCGGGACAAAACCCCGAGTTTAAAGCTGCGCGTTGACTCAGAGTTTCGCTTTGAAACTCCGAGTTAACCGAGAATTTCTTTCTCAACTGGGAGTTTTGTTCTGCTACTTGAGGAGCCGCTAGAGATGTTGAGGAGCAGCCATATGCCGGAGCCGAACTTCAGTTGCTTTGTGCATGGAGCCGAATACTAGACCACTGGGCCAAGGAGCCGCCTTTTTTGAAGTTGTCGCTATGAAAATCCTCGCAATCACGATCTCGCATGTCAAACTTGAGGCGTTAGGTTTACTTTTGAGGTGCCTTACCATAAAATATACTACAGATTCTTAAAATATTAGGTTGTCCCAAAAGTAAACTTTATTTTCAAATAAGTTAATGTTTTTTTTCAACAGAATTAGGGAACCATTTGATAGGGCGCGGCAAGCTCTACAGAAATGCCACCAAGGATCCACCTAAGTCGTAATCCAAGCAAAATTTGGATCCAAAAATCACAAATTTCCAGCTACCCTGAAAATCGGACTTCCAGTTTGGTATTGATATAGCAGACCCATGGTAGTATCCGAAAATGTATTTGACGAATTTTTCCGAGGTTAAAAACTGAGAAACAAAGATGGTCTGAAAATGCCAAAATGCCGCTTTTTTCGATTTTTTTTCGTGTAAAACTTGCTATTTTTCGGTCATAAGAGCACATAAGGGGTAAAGTTTTGAGATTATACTCACAAGGAAGAGGTCCCAAGACAGCTCGGCCGACCCGGATGAGTCATACATTACCGTAACTATCTTGAAATGCTGATTTCATCTGCTTTCCTTCTCTGCGGAACGGCTTTATGAAAGAATTTTTGTGGGTTCGAAAGTTTATTTGTCAGAAGCGGCCTAAAATTAGCAAAAAGCTCTAAAACAACACCCAGCAGACTTCCCCTGACTGTTTTCCGTCCTTGTAGTCAGTATACTTGATGCAAAACTGAAAACCACTTCTACGTGATATTGTACAGCCTTCGCCAATTTTTAGCCACTAAAAACTTGACAAATTGGGACTTTCAAGCGCTGAAAACTCCTTTTGTAGAGTTGTTCCGCAGAAACCAAATGCAGATTTGGAATACGCGTTTCAAGCCCCCTACGGTGATATATGACTCATCCGAGTTGGCCGAGCTGACTTGGGAACTCTTTCTTGTCAGTAAATCTTGTAGTATACAGTATACTTGGGACCGAATCGAATAATTATTCAATCATTCGAATGAATCATTCGAATGCGAATGATTCGAAAAGTCGAATATTCGAAAATTTGAGATTTCGAATAAAATTCGAAAGTCGAATATTCGTAATTTTCAGTTTTCGAATATATTCGGTAGTCGAATATTCGAAAATCTTCATTTTCGAATATTATTCGATAGTCGAATATTCGAGGGTCATTCATTCGATCATTCGATGTCCATCAAATATTCGAATACTCGTCGAGCACCGAATATTCGGAAATTCGATAAGAATTGGCTATTCGAAAATTCGATAAGCACCGAATATTCGAGAATTCGATATGCATAGCGTATACGGGATGTTTCAAAAGTATCTACACACCGTTTGATCGCTAATACCTCTCAAAGTCTTTTGCCAATTTCTGGGTAACATCCAGTAGGGATGGCTTCAGCTTATGAATACAGCAGAAAACGAATCACCCATGTTTTTCTTATAGTGATTATCACAGTAGGAAACTCCAGCTTATAGACCAACTGCAAAATAAGACATCCAAAAAAATTGTCCCCAAAAAAGTTCTAAAATCTGTGCAGCAGTGTTTTTACGTATGCTGATTTTACTACGCACGAGTTTTCAAGCTTTGCAAATGGCAATCACATTTTCGAAAGGCGTTTCAAAACACTTGTTACGGTGTATCGTTTGTTCCCCAGCAAATTTCCCATACTCAGGCAGCGGATAGGACCTTTCCGCCGGAGAAATGGCAGGGTCGCGGCGTTTCCCCAGCGGTGGGTCTCCCATTTGTCCGGCGGAGCCCTCCCATTTCTCCGGCGGAGACCTCCCATTTCTGCTCCGGATACCTCCCATTTTCTGCTCCGGATACCTCCCATTTTCTGCTCCGGATACCTCCCATTTTCTGCTCCGGATACCTCCCATTTTCTGCTCCGGATACCTCCCGTTTTCTGCTCCGGATACCTCCCATTTTCTGCTCCGGATACCTCCCATTTTCTGCTCCGGAGGCCTCCCATTTCTGCTCCGGACCCCTCCGATTTTCTCCGGCGCGGCTCTTCCAAATCTGGCGGACTCGCGCCGGGCAAATTTCTCCGGCGCGAGTCCGCCAAATCTGGCAGAGTCGCGCCGGAGAAATGGCGTACCTTTGCAGCAGGGCCGGAGAAGCCTCCCACTTGCCTGCCAGTGATGTCACCGCGACGGACCGCCCATTTGCCCCTCTCTCATTGGTCAACTGGGTCCGGCGCGACTCTGGCAGATTCAGACTGTCCGGCGGAGGGGTCCGGTCGATTGTCTGAATAGGTACCACGTCATGTCGCTGCCTTTCGCACTTTTGAACGTGTTGACCTTGGGCAGTTCCGTTGAAATCTCAGGAGAAACATGTCAAAAAGAGCGAAAGGCAGCGTCGCACCACGTACGCACGCTGGCTCACATGGGAACTTATCTGGGGGACACAGGATACCTGGCGTAAGTTTTGAAAAAAAAAAGCATTACGGTCGAGTGCAAATTCTACATAAAGTAAGTGTCTTTAGAAATCTAAAGCAAGACTTTCAGCCCTTCTGATTCTTTTTCTTGGAGAAATTGCTCTTGATGTTTTGAAACCTGCTTCAGTCTTACGGTAATTTTAAAACAGTGAAAAGCGATTGACAAATCGCCCCATACTCTAGATTGCTGTCAGCCTACAGATCTACATACTGTTGGGACCGCTGTATATCAGTCGCAACTATCAGTGAGGTATATAATCTTCTTTGAGGTACGAAAAATCTCTTTACAACCGTCACAGGAGTAGCAACCGCTTTCAAGTTCCTAAGTCTCTTCAAGTCGCGACTAAACCGTTTTTCCATCGTAAATTGTACCATAAGAATGTGTACATTCTTAGCAATTACATGAAACAATTTATTCTTAGTGTTTTGGCCTTTCATAGGCAGTCTCAATGAAGTAAATTATTCGGTCAGTAATCGAAAATCGAATGATATTCGGAAATCGAATAACATTCGAGAACCGAATAATATTCGAAATTCGAATAACGAATGATATTCGATATTCGAATATTATTCGATTCGAAATTTTCATTTTCGAATAATATTCGATAGTCGAATATTCGAAATTTCCGATTTTCGAATAATATTCGAAAGTCGAAGATTATTCGATAGTCGAATATTCGAGAATTTCGATTTTCGAATATTATTCGATATTCGAATATTCGAAATTTTCAATTTTCGAGTATATTCGATATTCGAATATTCGAAAAAAATTTCGAATTTCCCCAAGTATAGTATACAGTGACATATTTGGCAGGGGCTGGGGAGTTTGCCATTCTTGGACTACTTTTTTCTCGCTTTCTACGCGCGGATGAAAGCCAGTAAAGGCATTTTGACTATTACTGTGTGTCTACTGTATAATGACCAAGTCGGAGGCCTGTACGGGTTTTTCCCTCAAAAATCCAATTTTTAGGTGACAAATTTTTTTTCCGATTTTGGCTTCGAACTTTACATGGTATTTTACTTTACACAGTTAAGCAGACTCTTAGTGATGGTTTTGTAGAGCTTGGTCTGCTTTATCGGATGATACCCGAAGCCTACTAGAAATGCAAAAACAGCTTGAATTATTCAGAAAAGAAGTTTACATTGGGACGACTTAATGGTAGCAAGAGGCATGGGCATAGACCGTAATTCGCAACCCGTCCCTCCCCTCTCCCCTTAACATGCCACCATACTTAATAAAAGTAAATGTCTATAACAATATTCATTTCAAATGATCTATCCAAAAAATTTACTGTTCCAAAATAATCATTGAGAATTTGAGAAAAATCGACTTCCAGAAAATAACCAAAATCTAGGATTCTTCTATGAATCCTAGATTTTGGTTCTTTTTGAAGAGCGAATGTTATTCAACTTTCATATGTCTACCGAATAATATAACAATTTTCAAATAATTCCTGAGGATATTCCTGTTTACAGGACAAAAACATTTAGGTTTTGATTTTCAAATTTTGATTCTGCCGTATTTCTACCGTAATTGCGCTATATAACGCAGTGAAAATGGGCAATATGGTCGTGGTCAGCACACCTAATGCCACTTAGCCAATACTGAATCTAGCAGAATTCGAAAATTTTCATCGTACTAGCGTATCCCTGCCGAAACTTCGCTATGTGGCCGAATGGAAAATGAACATCGTATTCGTGATCAGCGCCTTGGATAACCAGTTCAATATTTCGCATTCGTTCTTTGCTGCACCCCGAACCTCTTTCATGCTTGCTGGAACTACGAGCAAAATGTACCCCGGAGGACTTTTTAGCGCACCTCTTCATCTGCACACTATTTCTCTTTCTCTAACCTCAAAGTTAACCCCGAGTTTCAACGCCTGAAACACGCACCAGACTTAGGGCCGCATGCACTAACCTCCCCGCTGGGGAGGGGATTGCAGCTTAAAAGAAAGCTTCATATTCTGAAGCTCCAGATATCTGGATTTCACGTTGTGTACCTATCCGTAAGTATTCCTACTACCCTTCACTATGAACATGTCGAACAGGAGCGAGAAGTTGTACAAACTGCATTTTCCAGCTTTTGTATGATCCCTGATGATCCCCGGCGCTTTTCTTTAAAGTCATTTTTCTTTCTCCGAAG